GGGTCGCACGTCTGTGACGCTGTTATTTTTGGGTTGACAGGCTGAAATGGTTGGGAACCCCTGCCTCTCTTTACAACAGACACAGAAGCACCAATCTTCGAGGCATCATTGAAAACTTAAGAGGCTGCTGGTGCTACAGGTGCCCTCGTATTGGCCGAATAATATATACGCTTCATTCAAGGTGTTCAGTTTGTCACAATGCAAAGGATTAGTATAGCAACAGCTTTTAACAAAAGCGCTTAGGTGCAACCTAGAGGTAGTACTGCTGCACCTCCAGGGGCACGCTAGGGCAGGGTGTTAGAAAAGCATCAGCAGTCATTGCTTTACAAATTACAAGTTTAATCTGCTTCATTTATTTAGTTTTCTGTGGGCAGATAAATGTTGTAGTTAGAGAATTAGCTGGTTAGCTAGTTTTTGTTATTACAGATTATATCTAAATAATGCCAGCATGACTAGACTCATCTAGTATGAGTCCTGCTGTTCAAAACACTAACACTATATTCTGCTTTAGACAGATGGGTGTCTGATGGCCGATGATCTGCTATGGATATCTACATGTCGTGCAAAAAGGTCAATGTTGAACATTGGAGGGACTTCATAAAGATATCCACTACCGGTGCAGATAATTGGTTTTATTTTCCTGCAAAGACACATTTATATGAAGTCTTTCCAGGTTGTTGACCATGTTGGTGCAGAATGAAAGGCCAGACTATGTATTTGATCGGACATCTCTGGGCATCTCATTAGACCTTCATAGTCCGTTGGCTAACAGGTGCAAATGTGCAGTAAACCATGAAACAAGTTGCACAAATGTGTGATGCAAAGTCCAAAAACACAAGCGCAAAACAAATGCAACATAAAAACGCTGCAAAGAAAAAAATGCTGCAACCACAAAAAATAGAAGGAAAAACTACGATAAGCAGAAAATGCTGCACCCACAAACAAAATGCTGCAATCACAAAACGAAAATGATGCAAATATTTAAAAAAAGCTGAAAACTTGTTTTAAGAAAAATGTAAATGCTCCATACCAATATGAGGTGTTGAACAAAGAACAAACCATATCAGACCAAACTGTCCTTACATACAGAAAGTTAAGCTTTAACAGAATAAAAAAAATGTTGGAAGAAGAAGAGTTTTATCTTGGTTGTTCGAATCCCTGTAGCAATTGTTTTCTTAGAGCGGGTTTGCTGCGGTTTTTACTGTTTGCATTATTTTTCTTTCTGTCATTGCATCATTTTGTTTTTGGTTGCAGCACTTCTTGTTTGCATTTCTTTTATTTATCTAACATTTTGCCGGAAAGAAAACATGCTGCAGTCATTAAATAGGGACTGCAGCATGTTTTGTTTGCAGCATTTTTCTGTTACATTTGTTTGCAGCTCATTTCAACATTTGCGGCATGTTTTCACAAGTTTGCAGCACATTTCTTTTTCGTTAGGTTTTTAAAAATTTTTTTTGCATTTGTTTTATGTGCTTGTGTGTTCTGGAGCTTGATTCACATATGCTTTCACAGATTGTTTCATTGTTTACTGTTTGTTTGCACCTGTCAGCCACTGTAACATAGACATCTAAAGCTAGTGCAAAAGTAGTGCAATAATGGTAACTGTCCCTTGCACAAATGCGTGTTCATGTGACATCTTTTCTAGGTCTCCTTTGCACATGTAATCTTGCGACCAGATTTGCATTATATCGACTACATTTAGCTTCCCTGTGGAGATCGAAATTAGATGATTGGTGAAAAAACCTCATTCTGTACTTTCGGGGAACCGAAGTTAGATGTACAAGGGCGACTTAGAAAAGATTTCATGTAGATGTGTCTATGCTGGGTGGGATTTATAAGAAAAAAAAAAAAAAATATATATATATATATATATATATATATATATATATATATATATATATATATATATATATATATATATATATATATATATATATGTGGAATGGTGCCATAAGATGTGCTGATGCACATAAAAAAAAAATTAAACTCTGTTTTCCTGCATAGACATATCTGAATTTGTGACATCACAAGAAGCAGAAAAGCAGGGCAAGATGTGCAACGCAAGCATTTTGAATTTGGAGGTGAAACGGGTGGACGCTCCTGTTAGTGCAGAAAGGTAGCAGCGTGAACAGCTAAAGACAGAAGCAGCACCTAAACAGGAAACACTGGACATAACAATAACCTTAATTACACAGGGGCTCCCTCAATGCAAACACAACATATTCCTATCGTCCACAATTGACGGAAATTTACATAAAAGCCAAGGAATAATATTGAATATTCCCAGAGATAAAACGACCCACTTAACAAATCTTTTCACATGAACATCAAGTATCAGCAAGGTTACAAAGTTATGTGCTTAAATTATACAAGTGGTTTAGTATCTGTAGATAAACTCAATCTCTTTACATATATGCTTTCAAGGTGCGAACCTTCAAGTGGAAATTCTATTGTAAATAAAGAAAGAAAGTTTTTCAGGAAGCAACAGCGATCCACACAGTCACCACAAAGTCAAGAAAATATATTTTATGTGAGATATACAAGCACAAATTAAACAGTATCAGATCAAACTTGAATCAGTCTGTTCTGACTAAACGATGCAGACACAGAGTCACAGCGCACACTTCTTCACGACACACATAAAGCCATGAAGACATTTTGACTTGTTTTCATAATCTCAACTTGTTTGAAATATTTTATCTTCAAAAAGCTGATGTTATAGTAACAACGAAGTTTTAGATTTTCTCTGTCAGCAACAGCTGGTCCAAAAAAAGAACTAAAAATCTACTTTGTCTAATCAGATGTTTTTAAAGGAACTCAGCATCTTTAAAATGTGTCTAAAACTATCAAGTGCATTTGTGCTTTAAAAAGAACTATTAAAAAATGGGTGTACAAATAAATATGGCTTCCCGTGTTGAGATGTAAAGCCTTTTTGTTGGTAGAAAGACCGGATGCTTTTGCTTTTAAAGTTACATTGAATCAACTTTCTGGATAAAGAGTTTAAAGACATTTTTTTATCAGATTAGAACCATCCGAAAATACACAGGTGATCATGAGAATCATGGATCTCAGGAAGAATGATTATTTTAGAGCATAACATTTTGTAGATAAAGTTTTTGGAGATTTTCTTGTTGGAAATCTGTGACTTCTGAAATGTGTTAATATGCGCATTCTAGAAAGATGAATATCCAAATTAATGTATGACCCTCAAGCCTTTGGGCTCTAATTCAGGACAGCCAGCTGACTTTACTAATTGCTCATAAAACTCAATCTCTATGATGGCAATTGCTTATAGAATCTAATAAATTCTGGATAGTTATTTCTTTACAGTTAAAAAATAAATATATCTCTAAGAATTAAAACTGTTGTATATAGAATTTTAATGTGGCTTCATTTTGCTTTGGCTACCAACAAATTAAATATCACTTCACACTTTAATTTGGATTTAAAAGGTAATAAAACATAACTATCTCTTTAACCACTAAAGTTATTAGCATCTTCCACTGAGCGCCATAAAGCCAGCATTATTAACCTAATAGTGTCTCTCCTTTAGTTGCCTCTGCCTACAGTAAGTTATGATTCAGTAGTGTTTGCACAGTTCAGTCTTTACCATTTCTACTGACAGCTTGGTTACATATATGCTTCCTAGTATTAATGCAATGCACTGTTTAGCACTGTGTTTACTCTTTACTTCTACTGCTGATATTATGGATGGAGGCTCTAAAGCTTACCTGACTACCAGAGCGTAGTTAGAAATCACAACCCTGACTTTAAACTTTACCTCAAGTCATCCAGTTACTCCTCAACATAAAATAAAGGTCCATTCAGGCTCACTTTCCCTCTTCCAGGGTCTGTCAGAAAAGTACTAAAATAGTAGGATAAATAATCATTCATAAAAAATTATACTCTAACACAACAATATAATAATTTCCCTTTAAGCAAATAAATAAATATACTTCCTCTGCTCCCTATAGTTAAGTCATGCCTATCTTTCCTAACAGAGGGCGATTTTCTCAATGAATCAAATGTTTTGTTTATGAAGATTAAATTTTTTTTTCCACCAATCTCCTCCTTGGGCTTCAGCAGTTCAGAGTCATGTCAGGTCATCTTTTTGTTCTTGTGGACTAATAGCTGATAAACTTGTTAATGCCACTAGCTGCAAACATTTAATTTCTTATAGTTTCATAGTTTGTTGTGAAACATGATTATTAACCAAACAGGTTTCAAAGCTTAAATTTCTTTGCCCTTTGAATTAAGGTCACCTCTCTACGGAGCCCCTAAAGGGACATGGAGGGAAAAAAAGAACTTTTGCGAGATCCCGCAATAGTTTTGCGAGATCGCGCAATAGTTTTGCGAGATCCAGCAATAGTTTTGCGAGATCCCGCAATAGTTTTGCGAGATCGCGCAATAGTTTTGCGAGATCCAGCAATAGTTTTGCGAGACCCCACAATACTTTTGCGAAATCCCTTAATACTTTTGCAAGATCCCGCAATAGTTTTACGATGTCCCGCAATAGTTTTGCGAAATCCCACAATAGTGTTGCGAGATCTTGCAAAAGTATTGCGGGATCTCGCAAAAGTGTATTTTTTGCGAGATCTCGCAAAAGTTTTGCAGGATCTCGCAAAAGTTTTTTTTTTCCTCCATGTCCCTTTAGGGGCTCCGTAGGATTGCATACTGACCTTGTCTCTCTTCATTCATGTACTGTCGTGTTTTGGGATTTCTCTAGTAATTAAGAACCTCTCCAAATCATCCTCCATGGTTGTAGCTGACACATGGGCGTATTATCCTCCCATAGCAGTACACTTTTCACCTCCACTGTCTGTTTTACTTCCGGCTAGCTGACATGGCAAAACATTTTGCGAGATCTCTTAAAAGTATTGTGGGATCTCGCGAAATTCTATTTTTTCCTCCATGTCCCTTTAGGGGCTCCGTACCTCCCAGAGAAGATGATTGAATTAAAAGTTAAATTTTGGAACTAATTCTTATTATGAAAAAAAAAATAAAAAAATTAGTCCAATTTGGTAGGAAAAAAATCTTCCTAAAAATTGTTTTTCAGCCATTATCACCATGCCGTAATTTGTGCTAAACTTTTTTTGTTTGCAGACATTTTTTTTACTAGTACCCCGTATACTAGGTGAGGTTCAAAGTAATAAACAGCTAAAAATGTCTTTGCTCTGGTTGCATATACACTGTCCTTCTCTTTTACTGGAACCAGTTGTATAACTAATGTATGTCAAACCATTAGTGATGCTCATACCAGCTCTTGTACAAGTAAGTAACCTGATAAGACTGTCTGAACTTTCAGTTAGTAATCCATCGAGTATACGCATGATGTGACAACTTTCTTTTTCTTTTAAACAACCTTCAAAAAGGAGCCGACAGGCGTCTGTTTCCTCAACATGAAGCAGAATTCCTTTCTTCTAGACACAGTCATGTCAATTTTCCCAATAACTTGGCTATAATCACAGCTTGGCAGCATTACATAGGATTACACCATAATGAATGATTAAGGATATTGTATTTAAGTACCTTTAGCTGCTGTTAAATCTGCATAATAATGTAAGACGGTTTTTACTTTTGGCAGCCCAAACAATCTCAGTAAAAGCTTAAGCAAAAGATTTAGATCTATTATACCTGCAATCTAAGAGGAAGGAAAGTAATCGCCCGAGAGGAACTTCAGTTACAAGTTAAACCATCCTACAATATAAATTTAATCATGTCACCTAAAAAAATAAATTAATTAATCAGTTAAACAGATTTTTAAAATTCTGCCACCTAATAAATATGGATCCAACTTGGCATCGCTTAATGCTCACCTTAAAATAACTTGCTCAAAGACTGTGAACAGATTAGCTGCACGGTTTCTGATGTATGTTACTGACCCTTACTCTTTAAACAGACACAGCAGATTTCAGGAATGTTCAGTAAAGTTGGAGACAGAGATTGAAATAGTTTCCATGCTTTCAGTGTGTTTGTATTCTGTGATCCTCCCCTTATTTCTGTAACCGATGAAAAATCTGTTTAGACTTGTCCCGTTTGCTCTCCTGCTGCGCTGCTCTTATCTTTAAGGGTGGTGGTTTCGGTTGCCGGTGGGGCGATTGCGGCTGCTGCAGGAACTGCTGCCGGCGCTTCCACCAGTGGGACCTTCTCCTTCTCAGGAGAGGCTGAACGATTCTCAGCGTTGCTGGTGGTGGCAAGGTCATCAGCTGGGGGGGCGGCATAAGGCTGAGCAGAGCCAAAGCCACGGGAGATCTCATCGAATGTCTTTCCCTTGGTCTCAGGGACTTTTAAAAATGTGAAGATGAAAAAGAAGATGAGGAAGGCTGTGAAGATGAGGAACACCCAAGGACCACACAACTCCTGTGGAGAGAGAAATCAGAAAATTCAATCAAAACTAGTATTATCTCATCTATTATCTCACCTGATATAAAGATTTAAGTAAATTAGGTCAAACAAGAAAAAAAAGAGAGCATTGGAACAAAACAGAGAGAATGAGAAGAAGGGAATCAATCAGAATATCTTCTCACCACTAATTTAGGAAAGGTCATTCCAACAAGGAAGTTGGCTGTCCAATTGCAGCATCCTGCAACGGCCATGGCTGCAGGACGGGGCCCCTGGGAGAAAAGCTCGGCCACGATGAACCATGGAATAGGACCGGGTCCCAGCTCAAACATAGCCACAAAGAGCATGACAGCCAGGATGGCCACGTAGCTCATAGCTGCGATGTGCTTCTGCTCAAACAGTGGGAAGAAACGGAAATCATCAGACTCGTTGGCTGAACATTTGATTAGACTCTAATGAGAAAGAGAGCATCTGCACACATCTCAGCGTGCCTCTCAGGACTCCATGTAACTGTGTTATTTTATTCTTCTAGGAACCGTCTTCAGATTTCTGTCCACCGGAACAAAACATTATAACAAAGAGACATGAAATGATGGCAATAATTTATTATTTCATGAGCTAGAAATAAATCTAAATGATTTGAAAGGGAAAAAAATCAAAATATAATTCAACAAAAACATTAATTCAGCTCTACAGCTTTTATAAACATGTTCTGTGCAATATGCTGACTGTGCAATATGCTGACTGTGCAATATATGTGAATGTAATAGTCATACCACTACCTCACCGTTGTTCCTTACCTACTACACTTTATAATACATGTACACTTGTGCCTTAATCCTTATTTATTTTGATTTACTGTATATATATTGTTTATCCTTAATGCACCTTTTTCCTCCTTGTTTGCACCTTCTTTAATTACTGTGCCAATATGTGACCGGTGAATTTCTCCGCTGTGAGATCAATAAAGCTCATCTAATCTAATTAAATTCATTGCAGCTTCATAGTTGTAATTGCAGATCTAAGTTTAAAGTTTTTGGAAAGTCATATATAAATGTCAAATCATTCTGGCTTAATCATGTATTTAAAGTTTTCTATTTGTCCTAAAAGTTAGAAAATTTCTAAAAAAAAAAAAAAAAAATCCTGTCCTAAAATCAGTTTTTTTTTCTCATTATCCTATGCAGGCCAGTTATACGTCACCTAAATTCAGCCAATCATATATCAACGGTCATCTGTCAATCAAATTCTGGTCATAGCAACTTGATTCATATGTCGCAGCTAATATACGCAACGGTTGAAATAAGAAATAAGAAACATTTGATAAAGGACCAATCACATTCACTTTATTCACTTGTGTAAACTCAGCAGAATTTGGAAATGGTTGGAGCAGCCGCTTCCCTACGACTTTAAAGGTTTTTATAATAAGTTGCTTCCCTGCATGGGATGTGTTCAAACCACTGATTTATGGAGGCTTAGTGGCCTCAGACATGATGCTAACTATCTCTGTGTTCAAAATATTTGATATACTTATTAACTCACCAGATAGAGGGAGAAGGTCATAAGCAGGGCACTGAGAGCCATCCCTCCCAATCCCAGGAGATGAAGAGTCCTTCTTCCAGCCCTTTCTACTAGGAAGAGCTGAATAACAGAGAGGGGATTGATTATATTCAGAATGCAACTAAAGGCATGCAGGAACTCCAGAAACTACTGAGTCCACCTACAGAGACGACGGTGAAGATGGTGTTGACAATGCCGGCTCCTATAGTGGCGTAGATGGGTTGCTTCACTCCAGCTGAGCTAAAGATCCCCGTAGAGTAGTAAAACACCTGCAAGACATAAACAGGGATGTAAAAGGAAAATCATGGTTAAACTGAAAGTTGTATCAAGGTTTTATAAAATGTTTTATTGTTCAAAAATCAGATTTCTTAAGAAACTAAAGAAAAAAAATACATAAATCAGATTTTTTATTCAACACTAATTACAAATAATCATATCTTCTACATTGAATCATAACTATATGTTCTAGTGTTGTTTTAATGGGATGCCCATGTCTGTATTTATTATCAAAACTGCTACGGTAACATCTTTTGTTTATTTTGTGGATCTATATCTAAATTTGAGTCGCGCTGTGTGTTTACTAAGCGTTTGCTGTTCTTTACTCACAGCGTTGATTCCTGACAGCTGCTGGGAGAGCTGCAGCATCACGGCGATGAGGAGGGGCTGTCTGTATGCTGCTGAGCGAAACAGCTCGGCGATGGTCACCTTCTTCTCCAACGCCATCTTGGCGCTCTCCTCCTTCATCTCCTGGAGTTCCTCGTTAACATCTTCGTCGCCACGCAGACGAACCAGAGCTGTCAACGTTTTGAAGAGTAATAAAAAATATGATTTCATGGGAATGCGGAAATTCCTCCATGTCATTGTTTTCAGCTGCCAGACAGAATATTTGTAGCTTGTGTAAGAATAGATGTGTATAGGAGAAAATAAACTTATAAGAGGACCTTGGTAATGTGTTAAAAAAAAAACACCCTCTAACTTACTCAACCTTCTGTATTTCCACCAGCATTTTCCAAATGTTCTCCAAACCTCTGATTCCTGCTGTTTTGAACTAAATCAAAAAGCTTTCTCCACTTTTTGGCTCATTCTTTGCATTTATATTTTGTCCTTCATGCTCGATATAAGGGATTGCTGTTGAGTCAATGACACTTTTGCAATCAACTGGTTGTCCTTATATAGAAAACTTTTAACTAATCTGAATGTATAATCTGGTTGAATAGTTTCTGTAAAGTGCTTTCAGATGATGTGTAGTGAACTGATGCTATATAAACAAACTGAATTGAATGTGCCGTCTGTATTATTTCTAAACAACATTCTTTATACAGATTGGTCTAACGTAAGCAGACATAAAAACTATTAAGTCCAGCTCATACAAGCAATTTGCTCTAATTGTACATCAGTCATCTTTTTTTTCAGAGATTTTGTCATTTAAAAGTTTCTACAGCTTGGAAATTACATTTCAAGTTGTTTCTTCTTCAGTCAAAAGCACACCAGCTGCAGGAAACCAAAGCAAACTATAGATTGTGACTCAATTGAAACATAATTTAAAAAACCCATAACAGCTTGACTTCAGATCCTGTAGTTGAAAAGTTTTTAGCCTTCATTCGAGAGACAGTCTATATTCAACGCCAATGAGGAAGAAGTTAAAAGCCTTCTTCTAAACATTGGAGGAACTTCTGTCTGTTCTGCAGATCTAAATTTATAGGTAGAGTGGAATGAAACAGAGCATCATTAGAACCGTTATTTAAACTATTTGGGATGTAATGTATTCTGGATGACATGATGCAACATCAGGGATGAAACCTGAATTGTTTTTCTATAACTGATGGTGATGATCCGTTCATCAGATTTGAGAGAAAATGTACATTGCAGCAAACGTGCCTTTGCTTTACACCAGGCATCCCCAAAGTCGGTCCGCGAGGGTCACAGTCCTGCAGGTTTTAGAGGTGTCCCTGCTTTAGCACAGCTGATTATGATGATTGAAGTTGAGCAACAGCTTTTTAATCAGCTTTTTAATTAAAATCAGCTTTGTTGGAGCAGGGAAACCTCCAAAACCAACTTTAGGGATGCCTGATTTACACCTTCACCTCACTCATTTAGGGAAAGGTTTTCTATTAAACACTAGAGGGCACTGCAGAAAGCAATCGCCTGTATCCAGCAACAGGAAGCAGAAGGGGAGTGAAAAAAGTGTGTCCTAACACAACAAAATGACAAAGTTTGACTGCATAAAACTAACAGTTAGCAAGGGTGAGTAGAGTAACAAAAAAGTGTACTAAAGTGTAAATAAGAAAAAAAGTATTTGATTAAAATTCTGTGGATCCTAATTGAGGCCATAAAGTTTATTAAAGATAAGGTTTGTTTAAAAAAAATGTAAACCTTAAATATAACACACACACATTCCAATTAGGTTCCACACAGTCCATGAGGCAACCTACTATGTTGGACACATACATTCACATCAAAATAACCTAGAAATGGCAGTGTACAGAGAAATGGAGGTAGAGAATGGGAACTTGACTAGTCACATCAGAAAAGACTTGTTGACTATTGAAAACCAGCTATACAACAGAATAGAAAACGGAGACCTTAACAAGCTTGATTTAAGCTCTATTAGCACAGGAACAAGCAAAACGTGAGGAAATCAAAGAGGAGATGAGTAAATATTTTGAGAATGATTAAAATAAATAAATTTTGGCTCAGTGGAAAGGCTGATTTGAGAACAAACTCAAACGTTCTTTAACTGAATTCACAACTTTAATATAGATTCTTCAATCCTTGCTTTTCTTTGTGTGACTACCTTTGCGTGCTTGTTCCTCTTTCTGCCGGTTGATCAGAAGGAAGCGCGGGCTTTCAGGGCAGAAGGGCAGAAACAGGCACTGCAGCAGAGCAGGGACCACGGTGAGGGCTAGCAGCAGGGGCCACAACCGGTCGGAACCCAACAAAGACTCCAGACCAAAGATCTAAACGCAAAAACACAAACCAGAACTTACTTAGGTTTTAGAGTGGATTAAGCTGGATGTAACCCACTGCTACAGAGTAGTTAATCAAAATATCCTTTAGTAATCAAGGCCAATGAATTATTGAATGACCAATTAATTATCAATCCTGTTTTAAATCCAGCAGATTTGGCATCTCATTCATTGCATCATTGCTTTTAATTCTACTTACATATGTATTCATTTTATGTACTTGAGTAGGTAAAATTTCTAACCTGAGCAATCAGGATTCCCACCACTACACCGAGCTGATGCAGAGTACCGAATGCTCCACGGAGGGGTGTTGGTGACAGCTCACCCACGTACATCGGAGTCAGCCCGGTAAAGAGACCACAGAACAGGCCGATGACCAGACGACCTGCAATCACCATCTCATAGGAGTAGCAGATGGTGGAGAAACCCATGAGGAGGCCTCCGATCACGGCCAGACAGTTCACCAGTAACATGGATTGCCGTCTGAGAGAGAGAAACATTAAATCATGAGCTAGTGCTACAGCAAAGGCTTTCTGCAGAAGGAACGGAAATTTAAATTAAATGTCTCTGAAGCTTTATGGTTCCAATAAATTTCTATGTTTGCATGTTCTGCATTAAAACTGACCCCATAAACTCACAGAAATAACACAAAGCAAATATTTTTTTTATTAATTAAAGAGGTTGACTGAATAATTACACTAAAACTTTCTTAAGGCAATAACCTGATGAATAAATATTAGTTTGGAGGATAAAATTGCAATATTCAAATAACAAACAACTTAAAATTGCATGCAAATGGGGGATTAGGGCCACTGAAAAAAAAAAGTTAACTGATTTTTAAATTTTATTTCAGTTTAATATGGGAAAAAAGTCAGAATTCTGACTTTTTTTCTGAGTATTCTGACTTTTTTCTAAGAATTCTGACTTTAATCTCAGAATTCTGACGTTTTTCCTCAGAATTCTGACTTTAATCTCAAAGTTTTGAGATGTGGGAGCACTCAGCTTCACTGACAAAGATGTGAGTTGTTTGCTAACATGTTTGTTATCTGTCAGAATTTTGAGAAAAAAATCAGAATTCTGAGAATAAAGTCAGAATTCTGAGATTAAAGTCAGAATTCTGAGATTAAAGTCAAAATTCTGAGAATCCTATGTTAAACTGAAATAAAATGGAAAAATCAGTTATCATTTTTTTTTTCCAGTGGCCCTAATCCTCTTCCGTACAAATGTGATGGGTGCAAAAGCAACATAAAGCTGTACAATCAAAAGCAAAACTCAAATATAAAGGTGAAGATACCAACTTAAAAAAGTTAAAGCCAAAATGAATAAATGTTAAATTAAAAGATGAGCACCCTGAGAATATTACTATAACCAACAATGCAAATCAAAAGCAAATTTGAAATATCAAGGATACTTCAATAAATATAGTTTTATCTCCAACCTGCCAAATCGGTTGGCCATGACGCCCACACTGAAGGAGCCCACCATGCCGCCCACACTGAAGATGGACACAGCAACACTCCAGACGATGGTGCAAACCCCTGGGCTGATGGGCTCGCCATAACGCTCCATCCAGGTGTTATTGAAGAAAGATCGCAGTTTCTACGAACGAAAACAGATGTTTGGTTTAAAGATAAAAATCTCTGAAATCTCTTAAAATGCATTTGACTGTAAGACAAACTAGAAAATGGTTGTTTATAGCCTGATTAACTAGCTTAGATGTGCTTAGAATTTAAATATTTACATATCCTGAGCTATCTCTATAGTTATGCTGCTATAGGCTTAGACTTCTGGAGGACATAGGGACCCCCATTTCATCATTCTGCTTCATTCTATCTCTATTCTCCCACTCTGCAAAATCTGTTAGTTCACTCTCTAACATTACGCTCCCTCTGCTTTTTCTGGGTGAATAAATCTAGTGTAAAGTGCTTTGGTCAAGCCTCCTGACTTAAATAAAAGGGAGTTTTTCCTCTCCACTGTCACTACAAACATGCTTAGTGTGAGGAATTGCATTCGAGTCAATGAGTCGATGCAATCAACTGGTTTTCCAGTTAGATAGAAAACTTTGAGTCAATTTGACTGGATGATCTGGTGAACTGTAAAGTGCCTTGAGATGATGTGTTGTGAATTGGCGCTATATAAATAAACTGAATTGAACTGCAATATTGCACATTTATGAACTTTTCATCAGAGATGTTAAAAGTATTATTGTTTATTACTGAAGTAAAAGTATGAATTCTACTGATTAAAAACACTTCTATAGAAGTTAGAGTATCAACTTAAGCTTTTTGCTCAAGTAAAACTGTAAAAGTATCATTTTTGAACTACTTAAAGTATAAAAGTAAAAAAGTAGGATAGATGCTTCAAGAAAAATTTTTCTACAATTCAGGATGATAACTTCCTTATACTTAATTTTCTTAATTTTATAACTAATAGTAACAGTGTCAAATTTAACTTTGCATCATCTTGAAAAACTATTGATATTGTTATGTGGTGATGCAGCACCAAGTCCAAACAAAAGGAAATTAATTGTCTGGATGAAACAAATTATTTTGATAAAAATGTAAGGAGTAGAAGTAAAAAGTTATCGATAAAAATAATTACTCCAGTTAAGAATAGATAGCCAAAATTTCTACTTCAGTAACAAAGTATTTGTACTTTGTTACTTGACACCTCTGCTGTTCATACTAATGGGGTAAAAGGAGATAGTTTGTCATCATAGACCTTAAAAGTTTATCTAGAATTAAAGATGTAACATTTACCAACTATATTTTGTCATGTATCCCACATATATAGATTTTCCAATAACTCTTTATAGCTGTGACAGTTTTATTGCCAGGATAGTTGAAAAGTCGCACTTCCTGATTTATTTCTCTAACAAAAATACACAGATCCTGAGAATTATGACTCCTCTGCTGTTCTAAATTTTCCTCAGGTGGAAGCTCCATTAATCATTGGAGCAAAAACCACTTGTGAGATCACTCTATCAATAATGCTTTTAAGCACACAGCATTTCCGGAATAACCCCTTCTTCCTTTCAGTGCTGGTAAATATGGTCTAATAATGAGTCTTAACAATTAAATATTTAGGTGTTTTTCAAGGTTTTTAATACAGGCTCTGGTTACTCTCTTTTTTTTTTTTTTTAGTGTTGGTACCTGGATTAAGGCTGTAATACTTCAGCTTTTATCCATGAGCTGAATATTTTAAATGTTTAGATCTATTTCATTGCAAAATTTGCCTATGGAGGATAAAAAGTGCCAAAATTAAATAAATAAATACAGCATTAAATAAATGATTAAATGTGTCAATACTTAATTAAATGTGGAATTAAATAAATAAATGTGTTATTCATTAATTAAAACCACGTCACTAATATGAAGTGCCACAATTAAATAAATAAATACAGCGATAAACAAATAATTAAATGTGTAATTCATTAAATAAATAAGGAATTAAAAATATAAATGTGTCATTAATTTAATAAAATACGTCTTCATTTTATAAAAAAAAAATATATATTTATTTCAGTGTGCATTTAATTATTTCATGGTCCTGTGTCGCAGTGCATCGAAACCATTCAAAGAATCTGTCAAACTCACCCATCAAAGTTAGGGGGCGGGGTTAACGCGAATCGAGCCGCCACCTTCTGTATCAGAGTATGTCCACAACCTGTGGATCACAGTCTCTGTAATCGATTTGCTTCGCCTTAATGTGCAGGGTGACCAATCAGGTGTTAGATAACCGCCCCCTAACTTTGATGGGTGAGTTTGACAGATTATTTTAATGGTTTTGATGCACTGCGACACAGGACCATAAAATAATTAAATGCACACTGAAATAATAATATATATTTTTTTAATAAAATGAAGATGTATTTTATTAAATTAATGACACATTTATATATTTAATTCCTTATTTATTTATTTAATCCCACATTTAATTAATTATTGACACATTTAATTATTTATTTAATGCTGTATTTATTTATTTAATTTTGGCACTTTTTATCCTCCATACATTGCAAAATTTGCCTTCGTATCTGAATCAATTAAAAGATGGAACCATCAATAAATAATTAAAAAGTTTTCCAAAGGCAGGGGAAAAAACATTGTCTGCTTTCATTCGGAAGAATTGAAATGGAATATTTAAAGTCTTCCCATCTGACTGCACTTAAAAAAATAAAAAAAACATGTTTTATGTATGGTGGTCAGGAGATAATCTACACCAACCTCTTCAGGAGCGTTGATGACTCCAGTGTTGTAACCGAACTGCAGAGAGCCGATGACAGCGGTGCCCAGCGAGAACAGGAGATAACCAGTAACTTGCTTCTTCTGAAAGGACAGAGTCATGGAAAGAAGAATAATTGAGCTTGATTGGATTGGTACAAAAATAAATATGAAATCTGAGATCTTAATGGCATGTGATACACCGAGAGAAGGACACTGACATTTTAAACTGAGGTGCTGGCAGCAGACTGGTCAGTGATTCAGCAAATAAAGCATCCTACTTCCACACACAGCTACTAGGAAATAATTCTGACAAATATATACATATCTATCTATTTAGAGGTTGTTTTTTTAGGCCTTGCTAACAGCTTCTCTGTGATCCACAGTGTGTTTGACTCAGTTTGACTCTTTCCTGAATATAATCGGATAAATTCAAATGAAATTTGATTGCACAGATGTTGTGGTTCAGCCTGGCCCCTTCTTTAATATCATCAATTTATCTAATAATGACAGAAAATGGAATAAACCTTCATTACAATAAGGCGTTTGAAACCTCATTGAGTGTCAGCACAGTTAACAAGATCTTCACTGTTTTATTTTACATGGGGCAATATTTAAAGGAAAATAATAATACTTTGACGGAAATAGATAAGCACCATTTTAAAGACAAATAACCAGCAATTTCCTTAAGTAAATACTATACTGTAGGTACAACTGCTGCAGAGGGATTCCTGTTTTGTTACATGATGATGAAAATTATTCTTAATCACTCAATAAAATTTGTTTTATTTCTATTTTCCACTTTTGAAAATAAGCTTCCAAGTGTTTAAGATGTCTGACAGACACATGTTCTGTATTTTCATAAATCTGTCTTAATCTTTTGTTTGTTTTTTTCTTTTTTTGTTGTTTGCTTCAATTTCAGCAACTAGCAATAAGAAAATTGTCAAATTAAAGTTAACACACTTTTTACACTGGAAAAACGATCTAGAGATAAATAAAAATTTAATAAGTTAAGTGTATTTACCCTTATTTTGAGTAGGTAAATGAGATGATCTGCCAATGGAATGAGTATTTTTACTCTTAAAATAAGATAATTAGATAAAATGCACTTGAAATAAGACAATGCAGTTGTGTTTTCTTATTTTAAATGGAAATTGTCTTGTTCCATTGGCAAAATGTCTCTTTTACCTCCTCAATTCATGAACAAATGCACTTATTTATCTTAGATTTTTATTTTTTCCAGTGTATTAACCAGTAACAGACTATTTCCATATCTATCAGCAGTTTCTTTAGGATTAAACTTTATTAATAGAATCTTACAATAAACTATAGGCTAAAAAGTGAACAGTGAAATACATTCTTGCCACATCAGTTAAATCAAATTTCTTTGTAATAAAGCTGCCCGACATCTTGGAGACATGTTTTAGCCAGAAGCAAAAAGCCACTGTGTTACACATACACATATCATCCGAGGTTAATTAAATTGCTTTAACACATGCTTCCATGAATAAATAATGCTCTATATGTGATTTACTGAGGACCATGTGAGAATGCTAAGGTCTGCATCTAAACACCTTAGTAAAAGACATTCATCTGCACCACTCTTAACATACAGCATCATGAAAAATTAATGAACCATGTGTAATTTTCTCAGGGCAGCATGAAAACCTGATAATCTAGGTCACTGTGTTATTGCCTCTGCTTATGTTAGACACAAAGTCAGTAGCTGAGGGACTAAGAGGCTGAGTGTGCAGAACGGGCTGCTGCTGCTGAGACAGCAGAGAGACGTGGGCCGACCTCAGGTGATCCTCTGCTTTAGCAATATCACAATAAGGTCAGGCAATATTAGCACAGTGAATACGCTGCAGCTGTTTGATGCAAAGGGCTGGAGCCTTTGTTTGGGATGGAAGGAAAATAAAAGGAACTACAACATGACTTCTTTAAAGAAGAACATTATCGCATCTGCCGATCAATACATCTGACACAAGAATGCAAATCTAATCTGATTTAATGCATAAAATGAATACAATACAAGTTATTATTGCTCGAACCTGTCAACCTCTGGAGAAGTGAAAAGCAATGATAGAAGCAGCAGAGGGAGGAATGAAATGCTGAAAATGATCTGGCGGAGAGCAGTGAACCCCAGGGTTTGTTGGAAGGTCTGTAGATATTGAATGTGCATCGCGAAGATTTGCCCCCTGACCCTAATAGGGAGGCTAAGATTGCAGTTTGCTGTGGTGGAACCGTTTCTCGAAATGAAAGCAAAATATCCAAGATTTTTATAAAACACCAGCAGCAGAAACTCTGTCCCACTCAACAGACAGACAGGAATCCTTTCATTAATGTAGATTAAAAAAATAGGATCTTTTTCTTGGATGATCTTTTCTCCTTGACAATTTTCTTTAAAAATGGAAACCCTGAGATTTTTTTTTATGTATTTTTATAATATTGTTAAAAACATTTGTTTCATTTGACATTTATTATATGAAGTAACTTATAAGCTATTAATCCTCAATTACCACCTGATGTTTATTTATCAAGTTTTTTTAACAACCTAAGCTGTTTTATAGATGCATTGGTTTCAGTGCAGTTTAACTTTGTAAAATAATTATCTTGATATCAAAGATTGTTGATATTGTGAGGTTGATTATTTTTTTCTTTAAAGAAACATTTAAATCCCTGAATTTATGCAACAGATTAGATCTTTTAAGTTAAATAGATTTTAAGCCGTTTTAAGACATTTCGCTTCTCATCCATAAAGCTTTCTCAATTCAAAATGTCTGGAGTAACGTTAAGTTCCAGGCTTATAGAGGGCCCAACAAAAGCCTTGTTATGCTTAAAAAATGAAATTCAAAGTCCTGTATTATTTTAAATTGACATAAAACATTAACCATATAACCAGCAGTATTTCTAGCACCCTTGATTAATTACACATTGATTTCCTGCTGATTACATTTTTGGATATCCTCATTTCCAGGGCCATAACTACTATTAAGGACAATGAGGTTGTTTCCTCTGTGTTTTATTCGTTTATCTATTGCTTAAATTGTGACATAAACTAAAGTAGTTACAGTGAAACTGACTGTAAGACGATGATCTTGGTCTTCCACTAAACTGTGAGGTGTTTTATATTTAAGCAGCCAAAAGTAGCACGACTGTTTAATCATCTTAAGTCATCGTCAGCACGCACTGTCGCTATGGTAACTGCAACACACGAGCTCCCGCCAAGTCAGTCCCTCAGTCCCTGGAAGAGCACAACAAGTATGGCAGGCCTTTTTATCATAAAATCATCTTCACCACGTTTTCATTCCAGATATCTTGAATCCGTTTTTGACTAGACATATTAGTAAATAAGATATCTGTATATTTATACTGTATTTGGTCATGCAAAATACTTATTTCATAAATCTGCAATTAAATTATGAGTAGTCTAAATGACGTCAGATTTACTATTAATTTGTTAAGGGTCTCCAGTTTAACATATCTGCAAAACATTACTTACTATCTGAGAGGTATATTTCAGATATCAACAATTAAACTATGACTATTCGGAAAGTGAATTTGAAAAATCTAATTTTTTGTTCTGACTAATCATAAATTTAAATGAGAGATATCTCAAATTACCTTGTTATGCAGTATTTCAAGATATCTTAAAGGAGGATTTGAGTAGTCGGAATTAAATTCCAGATATCTTAAAAGCAAATAATGATTAGATGTATCCATGTTATAGATATCTAGAATTTTATTTTTGACTAGTCGAAATTCCTTTGAAGATATCTCAACAGGAATTAGAGGTATCTTAAACATTTTTTTAATCCAGACGGCTTTATTTAAGATATATTGAATCACTCTGACTAGTCAAAACGTAGTAGTTATGTAGAATTTTCGGCGGAAGGTCTACAAAGGCATCTTAGCCTTTCTGGTGTTTGTTTTCAGTTGTCTGCAATGATATATCCAGGGCAAATTCTGTGGATTTAACACCACATTTAGTGCCGCAGCTTGTGCTTGAACTGGTTTGGACTTGGAAAAAAATGCTGCATTTTATCCTTGAGATTGTGTTGACAAAAGAGGCTTCAAAAGAAAGATTAAAGTAAAATCAGGTTTATAAATATATATAAATATAATATATTTAAATGTCTGGCAGGGGCGACAGGAGAGGATAAATTTACAGCTGAGCCTTTTACAAAAGTCAGAATGATGGTTTTGCTCCTTAAGACTCTGGGATAGAGTTAAATAATGGAATTAAAAACCTGTCTGGGGAAACGTGCCACCAAACCACCTCAATTCAATTCAATTCAATTCAATTCAATTCAATTCAATTCAATTCAATTCAATTCAGTTTATTTATATAGCGCCAAATTCACAACACATGTCATCTCAAGGCACTTTACAGTTCAACCAGATCGAAGTTCTGACTCTTGAACTTAATATTTTTTTGGGCCCTTCTCCTTTCTTTCTCTACATGATTTTACAAGTCTAATATGAGGATACTCCATCAGATTGTCGATCATCCTAAAGACCATTTTGTAGCATTGGAAATCAGAAGAAAACTGTAAGCAACAACAACAAAAAAACACAAAATAAATAGAGATTTTCTTAAATCCTTCAATCGAACTTAGCTTGACTCTATACTAATTTATTTCATGAACTAAAGTTGACTTTTTTCGCTACTTAATGGGTCTATTTGAATGGTGCTAAAAAAAACTTTGAGGTATTTATTAGCTGGAATGAGTTCATAAAAGTTTTGGATCTCTGCAGTAATGGAAATCAAACTATCAAAGTCAAAATAAGATGAGATAACGTTGTGTCGCTCTTTGCATTAAAACAGATCGATGACATTTTGATTACAGGAGCTGCTCCAAGCTGTAGCAGTCATGTGATTAATAAAGTGTTCTTTTTAGAGTAAGGATCATTTATGAAACATGCCCCTTATCCATGCCCCAACACATTCTGCACTCTTGTTCGAAAAGAAAACAATTTCTTTTCGTTAAATAAACCTTTTACCTATTCTTCTCAGTTTTTGTCCCCTGAGGAATCAGGAGACCTTTGAAAGTCATCGATAATGCCTTCCTGCTAGAATGAAAGCCCTGGGTGTGTCTGTTAGA